TAGAACTGATTAAGAATGATTACTAGATCATGAGGAACAATGGGTTCACCAACAACAATGTGTTCACCAACACACACAGGTGGCCTAGTTCTTTCTTCATAAATAAACATGTGAAATTTGTTATTTAAATATCACCTACCAAAATGCTAAGTAGAAATTTGTAATTTTTCCAGACTACATATTCCAGTAGCCATCAACAATTAAATTTGGTTAAGGAGTTGAGACTCAAACTTTGTCATACATTAGGATTTAGGACTCTCTAGTCCCTACCATATAAACACTTCCAGCTCTTTTTTTCCTACTCAGTTCAAACTTATATGGCCTTATTTTGCTCTTTGCCTAGCAATAGAACATTACATTTTTCACCTTCTCCTTCAATGCCGGCAGGGGCCGCACTCCGGAGCCATTCGAGGTGCGGGTGCAGCGCATCGAGTCGTTATCGTGGCCGTCGTTATCGACATAAAACCGCGCTCTGTAGGCGGCCAAATGTGCATAATATGCAGGAGGCACTGCATTCATAGTAACACAGATGCTTGTGAGATACCATATTATATTGCAGCTTTGCATGAATAAAATGCAGAAGCAAAAACACAGTTCTATCTGGGCATCAGAGCTTTGCATGAGAGAAAAAGTTAGAAGATTACCAACAGAAACAGACCGAGTGCATCGTGCTGCATTTGTTGCAGTTAACTTGTTACTAATAATGGAAAAGCGAGATAGTTAAAAAGGAGTTTCAACGTAACGACTAGATTGAGAGAAAAGAGGAGATTCCTTACATATAACAAAGGTTGTTTGTCAGAGATTGGATTTCATCTGCTGTGACGTTGTTCTCGTCCCAAAGAATGTGGTAGTGTGCAGGACGGAAAAATCAAATTCTGTAGGATGGCTTATCTTATAATCCACCACAGTAACTACATTTTGTTATTATAAATTTCAATTATACCAAACGGAAAAAACGAACATTTTATTGCTAGACCAGCAAGTTTCTTGCCCATATAACACCTTTTGCATGCAGGGATGAAATGTGTCATGTTTGGGGGATATCTTATCCTAAAGTGCTTGACTTTCAATCCATGCATGTGTGTATACTCCATCAACAATGTAGCTTTCTACAGTTCTATTAGCTCTCCACAGCATACTGTGTCTCTTTTCCTAATCCTCACTAAATGTTGGATGAGATGCAAAATATTGGCAAATGTGGTGTGAAGCAACACAGCATTCAACTCTCACAGGTTGATCATTTTGGAGTTACAGGAAGCATCTTCATAATTTGAAGTTCAATATTCCTTAGAATCCTACCTATATATTTTTTCAATTGACATCTCATGTAGTTGTAGTTGTGCAATGAACTCATAGTGTATTGATCTATGGCATTGGGAAATTTGAGGATGACAACAGAGCTTATAGCTTCAATCAAAACAATCCAAGAGAGTATAAACTTTTTAAGCAGGGAAAATGTCCTAAACTTCCCACATTGCCCAACAGATACTATACACACTAGTACAGATCTGCCTTCATAGCTTTATGCTGATATTTATTTAAAGTCCAAATTAAAAATAGATAATCAGCCTTCATAGCTGTTATAAACACATGTCAACAAAATTCCACTTTATAATCTTTCAAATAATTACTAATAAAAAATGTCTACATAATATTTATGAACACCATATATATATACACATTACTATATAATATAATCCCAACAAAAATAACAACTACATTCATATTTTTTACACATATTAGGGTATAATAATAACACAAATAACAACAAATTCGAAATAAAATTATAAAAATTAACAAATATAATATTTATTACAATAATAAAAATTTTAAAAAATAATTTTAACCAAAATAAATAAAATTACCTGTCTTCAGCTTCAGTTCGGCGGATCGGAGCAGTTGGCGGCGGTAAATCGAAGCAGCGGCGGCGGTGAATCGAAGCGGCGGAGAACTGTGGCGGTGGAGACGGCGGATGAGAGCGTGGCGGCGGTGAATCAAAGCGGCAGCTGAGAGGAGTCGATGAGACCGGTGGAACTCGCAACGACGACGGCTGAGGAGAACTGTGGCGGTGGGAGACGGCGGATGAGGGCTTCCTTAGCTTGCTGTCGGCGACGACGACGGCGGATGAGGGCGGAGGGAGTCGCGGTGTAGTGGGGGGGTGTGGCTAGTGAGGTGAAGCGTAGCGGCTGAGGAGAACCCTTGAGGGTTGTCTGTTTTGAGGGGTTTTTTATTTATTTATTTATTTTATTTTAATATCGTGAGCGGATATTTATATTAATTAAAAATTAATATAATTATCCGCTGCCCTTGTTATGAGAAAAGGCAACGGAAACTCGTTCCGTTTTTTTTTTTTTGGAAAATCGCTACCTTCTTTTAGAAAGGGTAGCGGTTTCTTATTGATTTAATTACAATTATGCCACCGTCCTATTTTTTTTAAACAATACACTACCCTTATTTAAAGAAGGGTAGCTTAAAGTCAAATTTCTTTGCTCTATTTTGTACTAGTGTCAGTGGCCAATTTGAACCTTATTCTTTTTTTTTTTTAATTTAATTTTTTTAAAATTTTTTAATTGTTTTAGTTTATTTATTTATTTATAATAAATAATTATTTCTAATTTTTAATAAATAAAAAACATTTTATTTTAAAAAATAAAATAAAAAGGACATGTGTCAATGCCACATCGATTTAACCTGATAAACAAGTTAAATTGAATTTAATTTAATAATTTTACCGATTTAGGAGACTTGAATGGAGTTTTTTTCACTTAGGGGACCCAATTGCACTATCCACTCGACTTAGGGAGTCAATTTGACACTCTTTCTAAAAAATAATAATAATAATTTTTATTTTTATATTTATGTTAAGTTGAAAGTAGAAAAACTATTTTTTGTTGGTGTTTCTCGAATTTTAATTTAATTTTTTAAAATGTTTTTTTAGTGAGAGTGTTAGATCAAAAGATATGAATTTAGTGATAAAAATGTGAATAAGTGAACATGTTAAACTTTGTCAATCAGTAGCTCATTCATCGTCAATTTTTCTTCAGGTGGAAAATCTAAAAAGTTCTTATAGACCAAATTTCATCAGCAAATTACCATCCCGTCATTTTTTTTCTTGCTCCAACCCAATTTCAATTGAACATCAAACGCCATATTTTTTGACAGAAATAAACAGTGATGCGTATATAGTACAACACTATTCACATACTCCAAATGAAAATTCTGGGTGCACTAAAAAAAAAAATCTTTGTTAACCCCTTTCATTCCAATGTATTTTTCTTCCTGAATTCAATGCATGGCCAGCCATACCCCAACAGCATAGTATGTGAAATTAATATACATCGCTCCCAAACTGTCTATGTATATGTATATATAATGACACAATGTGCAAATTGTTATGGCAAAACAAATTAGCAAGAGCTTTCATGTATTCATAGCTCACTCAACTTATACAGTTATATTATTGCTTGATTTTCTTTCCTGAAACAAACAATGCAAACAAATAGTAAACATATAAACAATAAAAATGATAATAGAAAATAAGCAGCATGTTAATGATTCATCCTTGATGACAGACTTTCTTATTGCGGGATACAAAAAATTAATTTACTGCAAATCAAATTTTTTCTCTCTCCTCTCTTCTTTCCCCTGCACCTCAAGTTCTCTCTCCTCCAAGCAAGCAAAAAAAAAAAAAAAAAAAAAATCAAGAAAAACACCTGCATACTCTAAGAAGGCAGTATCATGGAAACAAATGTCCTATATTTTTAACTTTTAAGAAATATAACTCTAAAACCAATCTATTATATTTTAGGGATAAAGTATAAATAAGTCGAACTATTTGGAAAAAAGCAATTAAGCCATCAAACTCAAATAACCCACAAATAAGCCATTGAACTCGGAAAAAAAAAAAAGAGCAATTAACATTTTTAACAGGTTAACTCCAGGTCTTTGCTGACTATATTGCCAAATGTTTATTTTATTTATATTTTTTATTATTATAATTCATCTACATAGTAATATATTTTAAAGTAATTATAATCAAAGTAGTTTTGTATTGTCTAGATCTAATTTATTTATTTATTATTATTTTTTTAAACAAAAGATCTAGTGAAAAAATAATAATAAATAAACAAGTCAAATCTCGACAAGACAAAACTATTTTGATTATAATTATTTTAAAATATAATACTATCCAAGTGGATAATATTAATAAAAAAATAATTATAAACGTAAATAAAATAAACATTTGGCAATCCAATCAGCAAAAACCTGGAGTTAACCTGTAAAAAATGTTAATTGATCTTTTTTTCAGGGTCCAATGGCTTATTTGCTCTTTTTTTCCGGGTTCAATGGCTTATTTGAGGGTTATTTGAGTTCGATGACTTAATTGCTGTTTCTCAAATAGTTCAGTGGCTTATTTGTACTTTATCCCATCCCTATATTTTATTATAAATAAGAGAGTTAATTCCAGCAATGATCCTCCGACTATGTTGATTTTCCAAAATTAGTCCTCGACTTTTAATTTGGACATTTTACGTCCCTTGACTTTCAATTTCTTTCCAATTGAGGTCCTTTCGTCAGATTACGGCAAATTGGACTTTAAATGAAAGGGTATTTCTTCCATTTATACGCGACTTCGGACATCAAATTCACTTAATTGCTTAATCCCTAATGAAATTTTGAATCTGATGTCTGAAGTCGCGTATACAAGGAAGAAATACGAAGAATTATACATTATACAGCTGAAATGACTAATTTATCCTTTCATTTAAAGTCCAATTTTCCGTAATCTCACGAAAGGACCTCAATTGAAAAAAAATTGAAAGTCAAGGGACGTAAAATGTCCAAATTAAAAGTCGATGACTAATTTTAGAAAATCAATATAGTCGGAGGACCATTGCTGGAATTAATTACCAATGATTAGTCAATTTTATATTAAATTTGTCTCAATGAATAATTGCTTAAATTACCTCATTGTTGTGAGTTTAAAGAAACTGTCTTTATAAACTCATATAATTAAATTAGTTTCTGGTCATCAGAACTAAATCTGTAAAATAAAAGAATCATCACCAAAACTACATTGAGACCTCATTCTAACAACAATTTAGCGAGACATAAAACACACAAACCAAAAAAAAAAAATCATCTTTTTTTGGTCAATTGGCTTCGTCTTTCAGCTTCTTTCTCGGCAACCATTACATAGAACTCTGCCCCAAGCATCTCGTGTACATGATTCAGTGACTCGCTCAAGCCAACCGTCTCCAATAGCAACTCCACAGTTATCATAAAGCCTAAATTAGATAATACTCTGATGGCATTTGCTATCCTGCATATATTTAACCTGATTTCTGGGGCCGTATACTTTTCCTCTTCCTCAAGGATCATTGAAGTGCTAGATTTGGTACTGGGTTGCATAGATTTGTTTAATTGATCTTCTATTGTGTCATCCTTTACATCAACATGCTCACCGATCCAAATGAAGCCATTGCAGCCAAGTATCAAGTCAATTTGATACTGATCCAGATGATGGAAATGCTGTTTACGCTTCTTCACTAGATAAGGAGAAACTATGAGCAGCTGACCCCTTTCGAGCTGTATCCAAAAAGGATAGATCACATAAGAATCTGGCCAGCTATTGATAAATGATAACGAGGGATCATGAAGGATGTATGTAAGCATGTTGGCATTACTAAAAGAAGAAACAAAGGAAAAAAGCTGTGGTTACTAAGGTGCATTCCTCTTGACAAAAATGACAGAAAAGGGAGGTTGCTATTATTGGATTTATTGCTTATTTGGTCCGATCAATTTCCAAAAACAAACCTTTCCATATTTCTGGCTTCTAGCTTGCAGGTGCAGACTACCATCATGCTGGAAACCACGAACTTCGGCCTGAACATCCATCCAAATTTATAAAAAGAATAATGATAAATGGAGACTAAAATAACTTAGAAAGAAGGTGTAGCGTCCTTACACAAACAACATCATGCTCCTCAAATATACTTCTCATGTTTAGTTCATCAACTGCAGTTCGTCGTCTCTGGAAATTGAAAAATAACACATTTGACACAAAATGAGATAATCTGTATTTCAGCTTTCCCCTATTCAAACATCTAAAGTTAAGGCCCCGTCACCCTGGATAAGAAAACTTTATGTTCGTGCCACAAAATCAGTAATGAGAGAGCACATTAAACCAAACTGCAGCTAGGATACAAATATATACCTGAATGCCATCTGGCAAATTCATAGATGAAAGCATCAATACAGCATCTTGACTAGAGTTTATCTCCAATCTCCACCGCTTTGGAGCAACCTTGCATTGATTAACAGAAGAAATGAATTTGAGTTAAATTTCTATAGGGTGAGGATTAATTTTAAGGGAAACAGTGAGAGAACACATGAATGGAAAATGCCCAATAACCTCAATCACTCGACCCACAATGATATCACCTACTTCTGGCTTATACCTGCAATTGCAATCCTCAAAACTCAAAACAATTTCTTTTGAAACTATACTGCAAATTGTGAATCAAATACAGTTATCATTATTATTTTTAAACAGCACTAACCTCGCTCTCAAAGACCTCACATAGACAAGTTTGTTAACCCGTTCAACAACTCCACATAAAGTTGCCACAACACGGCCATCCATCTCCGATGTCCCGTGTCCCCTTCAAACAACAATCAATTTTACAAAATATGTAAACTAACATTTCAAATACCAATTCGGTAAAATCTCAATAAATACTTGCCCCCATTTGTGAACGAAAGCATAAAATCAGTTTTTTATGTATACATACTTGAGGATACCATCTTCGTGGTCTACCGGAATGACGTCGGCGACGGTGACGGAGGCATTGGAGTTGGTTTTTGAGGAGAATGACTCCAACAATTCCAGAGCTCTCTCGAGCCTTATCTTCTGCGTTTTGTTCAAAGAAATCTGTAGGCCTTTCATCTCTGTCTCTATATTTGCGTATTTGTGTGGGGAAAATTGGGGAGACTACTGATTTTTTGAAGAATTAGATAAACCCTAGAAATAAGCCCCCCGGGTTTAATCGACCAAGCGCCTACCAGTGCGGCCCTCCTTTTTCTTTAAAACCATTTATTATTTGTTTACTAGAAAAATACGTTTAAATGAAAATTTGAAAAGCTGAAAATAGAAAACATATATATTTACTTTTAAAAAATAAGCATTTGTTTTATGTTTTTTTTTTTTTTCAATGGTTTTGTTATTTAACTACTTATTTCTACCTCATAGTATGTGCTTACTTGGTGAACAACACAAACCAAGTTAGTTCGAGAATTAATTTGGTAATTATAAGGTTATAAATTCGACTTTTGTTGAAGTTGTCTATTGACCACTAGGTTGGTCTATTTCGATGTGGTCTTTTGCCAGTTTCGCCCATAGCTACATAGCACATCTTCGAGTTCGAGTAATGGTACGATTGCATTACATATATCAAATTAGGTACCCACTTATCTATTTACTCCATCATCTCTCCCACCTTCATCTTAATTATCTATCAACCACTAAGATTACATTAATCACTATTGATGGGGTAAGGACCCCGGCCCAAGAGATAGGGGCTCAAAGGAAATGGTTCAAGACAGGAGAAGTGGGCCAGCGTTTGAGGAGCCCGAAGAGTAAGTGGGCCGAGTCCTGGAGTCGGCCCAGGCCCAGGCACGGGGCCCGGATCAGAACTGCTAAAGAGGAGCCCAGTGGGAGCTCAGGCTGAGACGAGGAGTCGACCAAGGCCCAAGCCCAGGAGAAGACTCGGTTCAAGGAGCCGTTGAGAGCATTGAAGAGGCTTGTTTAAAAAGGAGCCTATAGGCATACATTTTTATTGAAAGGTGTATCCTCCAGCCAAAGGTTGTGTTGGACCTCCTTGGGCCTGAAAACTCTAAAACCATCAACTATACTTTCCTACTTATGTCTTGATATAAATTTAAGGATCCGTTGTAAAATATTTTTTAGAAAATGACTCATTTTCTGAAAAATAATTTTTTTTTTCCGAAATGATCAATGTAGAATAATTTTGATAGTCAAGAGTTTATTTCGTCCAAATTAAAAGTCGGGGATTAAATTTAAAAAATCACAATAGTCGGAGGACTATTGTTGGAATTAACTCTTTTATTTATCATCATCTTCTATCTTTTCTACTCGCATTTACTTATATAAACATAACTTATTTGCTTACGCTTAAATTTAGACGTTATTCACATTATCACCAATAAGACTTGAACTCTACATCAAGTTTTAGATTTTGATTGAACTCAACGATCAATAGATTATTGGTTCAAATATTTTTAGTAATGTTATATCGTAAACTGTGTGTGTATAAAATTATTTCTTTAAAGTCTAATGTATGCAAAATTTTAATATTCGATATCCGGACCAAAGTTGAAGCGGTTGAGAAAATTACGGGAACCTAGCATAAAGAATAGAGTAATTGCTTCTTGTAGGCAGAGATGATTAGTCTGAAAATTATGGAGATCGTCCAAGGAAGATGAAAGATTCATGAATGCTTTAATATGAAGACTTGATATTCTTCAATGAAGTTACAGTGCAATTAGCTAAGTAATTGAGCCATGTATGATGCATCATTGCTTCGTCCATACTTGGATATATGCTTCATTGATTCGGTGATTGATGAATGAAAGTCGTTGGGCAAACTGATCTTGGGATGCCCTACAAATGTAGGAGTGTTACTTTCTGAATTGGGTTATCAACTATTGACCTGCTACATTCTTTTAAATTCTTTAATCTTGCAGTTTGATTTTTGTTTACACTAAATTCAATCGACTTAGTGTTAGTTCAAGATGTGAAGATATAGTCCAATAATTCACATGAATTAACAATTTAACTCAAATATAGTTCGGGTGCTCTATTAAGATTGAATCTTAGTTAGTTAGCACTTTGGGACTCTTAGAACGGTGTCGTTCTTCATAAATCTTTACAAATTCTTATCATAGTTATTACGTATCACTTTTAAAAAATAAAAATATTCAATGAATAAAGATAATAATCTTTCGTAGTTCAAAAATACTACAATCTATATAAAAAATATCAGTTTAAGTCAGTATAAAATAATATCAGTAGTAATGTCTATTATTATTAAAGATATATCTTATAACTCCAATTATATTTTTACATTTATTGTTTTTTTATTTTTGGGTGAGAGACACAAAGCAACCAAGTCAGTGTGTCATCTGATCCTGCGAGAATAGCAACCACCCGCATCAGCTTTGATCAAATCCTCAAGCCCCATCGGAGTATCCTCAAAGATAGTCAAGCCCCAATCCCCTAATTGTCCCATATTAGCCCGCCAATCGGCGCAACAGTTCCCTTCTCTAAACACATGCCGGAACACGATGTCTTGAAAACCCCTGGACATAGACATACAACAATCCACAGTCAAGTTGGATCTCAACTCCCCCCTATTCTCATTATCCTTCATAATCCGGATTACAACCTCCGCATCAAGTTCCACTTCCACCCTCAACTCCCATAACCTATGTTCGTTATGAGCCGTACGTAGACCCTCCCTTAGGCCCCACAGCTCCGCAGCGTAGCTATCAGCTTTCCCCATTTTTATCATGAACCCCTGCACCCAATTCCCATTGTGATCTCTAATCAACCACCGACCAAAGCTAACCTTCCAAGCCCCATCGCTACAACGAACCTCTTTAGCGATCTTTTTGGAGCCTTGAAAGACAAACGCGTGCATTCCTATTTTTTTCAGATTTCCCAAAGTGTGTGGATAAAAGTTGAAGGCCAAGCATTTTTACATTTATTGTGGTATTACACTATTATTACTATTATTATGGTATGTTAGAGATACCAATATAATGCAATGATATGAATTGTGTTGGACATACAATATTAGGAGGTGTGGGCAATTAGATCCTCCGACTATTGTTCTTTCCCTCATAAAGCTACCAATCTCCGTCCTTCCCTTCTTCCTTTTATTATATATCAATCATTTCTAACCTCTCCTAAACCTTCTCTTAACCAGCCTCCAATGGCTGCCTCCCCTCCTTTTTCCAGAAATTCTCATTCTAAAATGCCGCATAGAGCAGGATGGCCTTCCGGACCTTATTTTCTTCTTCTCTTCCACTTCTTGGCCTCCTGTCTCTGTCGTCTCTCTTCCCCCTTACCCACCAGACCTCCTTAACCACCACCACAAATAATAATAACAATAATAATAATAATGTCCACCACCACCACCACCACCACCACCACCACAACCACCATCACCACCACCACCCTATTCTCCATCTCTTCCGTGAAGCCCCCGCTTTTCGCAACGGCGAAGCCTGCGGATCTCTCCCCACCCACGTCGCCATGACCCTCGACGCCAATTACATCCGGGGCACCATGGCCGCCGTGTTCTCCATTCTCCAGCACACCACCTGCCCGGAAAACGTCGTCTTCCATTTCCTCTGGGTGCACCACCACCCGGAGGTCGTCTCCACCATCAAGTCCACTTTCCCTTACCTCAACTTCCACGTCTACCGCTTCGACACCTCCAGGGTCCAGGGCCTCATCTCCAAATCCATCCGCCAGGCCCTCGACCAGCCCCTCAATTACGCTAGGGTCTACCTCTCAGACATCCTCCCCGCCAACGTCAAACGCGTCATTTATCTCGACTCCGATCTCGTCGTCGTCGACGACATCCTCAAGCTCTGGGAAGTCGACAACGCCCACAAAGTCCTCGCCGCGCCGGAGTATTGCCACGCCAATTTCACCGTTTACTTCACCCCATCCTTCTGGTCGGACCCGGAGCTGGGCACCACGTTCCAATCCCGGAAACCCTGCTATTTCAACACGGGGGTGATGGTGGTGGACGTGGAGAAATGGCGGCAGGGAGAGTTCACCCAGAAAGTGGAGGAATGGATGCTGGTGCAGAAGCAGAAGAGGATATATCAATTGGGTTCTTTACCCCCTTTCTTGCTAGTGTTCGCCGGAAACATAATGCCCGTGGATCACCGATGGAACCAGCACGGATTGGGCGGCGACAACATTGAAGGGAAATGCAGGAGCCTTCACCCCGGCCCAATCAGCCTGCTTCATTGGAGTGGTAAGGGGAAGCCATGGCTGAGATTGGATTCTGGGAAGCCTTGCAATGTCGATCATTTGTGGGCTCCTTATGATCTTTACCGTTCTTCCAGGAATTCTTTTGAAGAATAATGATCATATATAATCTGGAGAAAGTGAAGACCGGGAAGCGATTCATATTGGTACCCAGTCAGATATGATATTAGGAGAGAAATGTCAAAAGAAGAGATATATCATATATGTACAGTTTAATTGGTTTCACTTACATTAGATGTTTTATACGGTATTAAGTTATTATGTGCAGAGGATGTGATATTAGGTGTTTTAATTTCTGTTCTTCCCAATGGTGGCATCTTTTTGTGCCCCTCTTTTTGCCCATTAGTGTTATCTATGCATTGAGTTTATTTTTGACATTATTGTATATATTGTTGATATATAGGAACAAGAAAATGCTAAGCTTCATCACACAATTAACTAGTGATATTCATATTATAGACACACAGATAACAGAACTAAACTTGTCCATATCCTTTTCTGTTCTCTTGGTTCCTCAAGAACTGAGAACCTGAAATAAATCAGTGGAATCAAACTAATGGGATAGGACTAAAAATTATTCACAAAGATGCTGAGACAGCAAAGTAAACGAAACACCATTTTATATCCAGCAAGCAAGAAGAAAAAAAAAAGCTAAGGGCTAAAACTTTTTGAGATCCAAGGTGTAATTTCTGCTCATCTTTTCCCTTCTCCTGTGTATGAAGGCTTCTGCCTTTTCGTTGATGTTGGAGGTCACACTTAGAAGCCTTGGCCGTCTAGGAGGCGAAGGCTTTTCTGTCTCAGCTGGTAGAGTGGTCTTGTTGTTCTTCTCATCTGAGATGATGGCTTTAACACTGGGAGATGGTGACTTTCTTTGTCCTCTCCAAATGTTATATCTGGTAGGATCATTGAACCACCCGACATCATGCCCGTAGTCCACTAGCACCTCAGGGTTCAAACTGTTATTTCTCGATGACCCTTCAATCGGGATGTCAGACGACGAAGGGGGGCAGGATAGTGTTGGATTAACCATATTCTCAGGCGGCTTACGAGGCGAGAGGGGGTTGAGGAAGAAACTGAACAAGCGCTGACAGACTCCTGGATAATGGGATCCAGTAGTGCCCCTTTTATCCATTATATTGTTTGGTTTGAAGAAAAAGAGTGGCCTAAGCTAGCTAGCTGGGAATGAAGATAAGAGATGAGAGAATTGAAGTTTTATTAGTGAAAATATATCCAGGTGCTCCAATGTTGCAGTGTGGGTACAGCTAGCTAGCTAATATGATCTGATCTGATCCACAACAATCTATTATATCCCGTGGCTAGGAGATTGTTGGGCAGGGCCGATAAATGGGACATGTCTATACCCCGTGGCTAGGAGATTGTTGGCAGGAGACCTGTAAAACCCCTAAAGGTCAAGTCCAGCACCCAGCCTGTTTCGAACAATATGATGGCGGTCTATAAGTAAGGAAATAAAGTTGAACTTTCGCTACTAACTATAACTTTTGGTGTGAGTGGTAAGCGCTTGATCCTAACAATAATCTCCTCTCAGAGAACACATGTTTTCTGTTGGGATTCCTTGCTTAAAAGAATGGATAGCATAAAGTGAAAAATAATGTAATCTGGCTTCTGCTACCCTATCCCACTTTACTAGTAAAGTTGCTAGCTTATTGATTGGGGGTGATTGTGCTATTGTCAAAAGGAATAGCCAAGTTGCAGGAATATGTATATATCCAGAAATATTATTTACAATTCTCCGGGCCACTTTACTTGTCGTGAAGCATGCCTTATTCCTGTGTAGGACCAACCCACACCAGAATCTTGTATCTAAAGTGTCTAATTTGATTACATAATCTTACTGCATGCCCAGCCCCAATTATTGATTATAGTGATGGGGCTGTCATGATCATCACATATACATTTATGGCAAATTATTTGGTCCACATAACTATGTGGATCACGATTCAAAACGGCAACGTTTTGACGTTAAAAAAAATTTCGTGCTCGCGCACTTATGTGTTAGAATAATGAACCTTCTAGAGTAAAATAATGTTGATAAGTTATACATTCGGTCGGTCTAATACCGCCGAGCGATCCTCTGCGTAACCCGATCGGTTCCGACCGCTTAAAACCGTCATTTACCTTCCCGACCGCCTTGCGTCCCGACCAAGCTTCTCCTGGCCTAGCCGACATGTGCGCTAGTCCCAAGAAGTTATACGTGTCAACGGCAAACGTTGCCAGAGGCTCGATGTTTAGCCGTAGACACGTACTTGCCACATGCTCGCCATGCCGGTGGTCCGGGCCCGTGTTTCCCTCTGCTTCGCCTATAAATGTCTGCATTTATAGTGGCAATGGGGACTTTTAGACAAATTTAGAGACAGGCACCTACTGAGAGGCTCCCGACTTCAGCTACTAGTCCACGTGTATTAGTACTATACTAGTTTTTTTACGCGCATTGCACGATTGGTATAATGCCCAATGTTTTTCTTAAATAAGTATTTTAAAGTATATCAAGGCAAGATTATATTGGAATTGTTCATGCATAGATAATTGAATATTGAATTTGCGTATTTAAATTGGTAATTCTAAGTTTACAAATGCAAGATAATATAGTCAGATTGATTATAATTGTCAATAAAATAATAGTATGGGTATGATTGAAACCAAATACGGGACATAAGGGAGAGCAAATAAAAATTTAAGCATAAAATAATAAATATATATTAATATTGTTTGAGGAGATTCCGGCAGTAGGATTTGTGGTTAGAGTTCTATTAAGACTTTAATGTTAGAATTAAATTAATGTTGTAGTTATGATTCTATATTAGACTTTAATATTAGAATTAGACTAATGGTGAGTTAACGATACTTAATAGAAAAGTTAACGGATAGGATAATCATATAATTAAGGATAAACTTTCAAAAAAAAATATAATTAAGGATAAATTAAAATTTCTCAAGGAAAAATTAAAATCTGAACTATTCATTTGATTTAATTTAATAATTTGATGGTAATTTTTTCTACCCAATGTTTATAATTAAATAAATATTTGAAAGTATATCAATGCAAGATTATAGATCAAAAGTTCAACATAAGTAATTTAATGTCTAATTTGTTTATTTAAATATGTAATTCATAGTATATGAATACAATGTAATATAGGAGATTCATGTATATCAAATGTATTTTATAAATTAGAATAATATACTTTATATTGTTAAAATAATGTATTTTATAAGTTTCTATGTTAAAATGAAATTTCTGAGGTAATATAATGTACTTTATGAGTTAAAATAATATATTTTATATGTTAAAATAATATATTTTATGAGGTAAAATAATGTACTTTATGTGTTTTTAGACCGTGGTCCACACAATAATGATTGTACATCTATTTGACTGTCTCTAGGAACAATGCTTATACTATAAAATAAATAAATTTTGTGTCCTGCCCTCAAAGCATCCCCCAACCTCATGTGCCCCAAAAGGTTGATTTGCTCTTGTATTCAAATCTTGTCTATCGGTCCACCAAAAGGCATTGACTCAAGTGAAAAGTGTTTCAAGTCGATTAAACATATAATCGAGAATTCAAATTTATGTATAAAGAGCAATACTCTTGAAAATACTGTCTCCAAATAAAACTAGTTGTCATTAAACTAGGCCAAATTTATGTATAAAGAGCAATACTCTTGAAAATACTGTCTCCAAATAAAACTAGTTGTCATTAAACTAGGCCAATTACCATGTAATGCAATGACATTTTTGTTACCATTCTAAATAGGTCGTTGCAGGATTGAATCTCGGTAGTGACTAGTGAGGATATTAATTCTTTGAGCTGAAAAAATTAAGAAAGTAAAGAATATGTACTACCTTATAAAGAATCAATAGTGTTTAAAAAAAAACATTAAACTAGATTAGTCTCACCTCTAAATGCAAGGCAAATTATACCGTACACCAGGACGCACAGTGCATTGTGCGCCCTGACCCAAAACGACATCGTTTTGACCTTTTCGTGTGTTTGCTGTTAAAAAAAAATTCATGTTTCGAATGTACAGAATTGTATAATAGAAAACACAGAATTTTATACCTGAAAACACATAATTTTATACCTGAAAACACATAATTTTTATAACTAAAAATCCCCATGTTTCGAATGTACAGAATTATATAATAAAAAACACATAATTTTATACATGAAAAGACATAATCTATTTTTAAAAAGACAAAAACCCCATGTTTCGAATGTATAGAATTTTATATCTAAAAACATATAATTTTATAAGAGAATACAAAACGACATCATTTTGAGAGGCGCGGGGCGCACATTGCTATGTGCGCCCTAGTTCACGGTATAACGATTGCAAATGCAATTACCTTCGAAACAATAACATAAATGAGAAGACATACTTGTTCAAAACAGCAGATGGATTCATCTTCTTAGTGACTCTCAACAAGCGATTGGGTGGTTGAATGGAAACCCCGTTCTTTTGGGAAGTTGCGCAACACTTGTTCAGTGGATTAAAGAGTGGCTGCAAAAGGATTGGAATGTGGTTGTGAAATATGTTTCTCGAGAATGGAATGGCGCAGCAGATTGGATCGCCAAAGAGGCCCCAAGGAGGAAGGTTGAGTGGATTGAATTCACAGACCAACCAAAAGCTGTCCGTGATATTCTGAGCATCAATAGTAGAGATTAGCTAGCTGGGGTTAACCCCCCCCCCCCCCCCCCCCCCTCCTTCCAAAAAAAAATGAGAAAGACATACAACCCAGGTAATTCAATTCCAAGCAATAGTCACTGGCCCATGGAATGGGGAGCGTTATGATGTTCAAGTGTGTCACTGTGTGCACCATGACGACGTCATTTTGATGTCTGACTTAAAAAAAAAATCAGTTTTGATTGTCGTTAACGGCATTATGTTGTGCATAATTTGAACTATATAGTTCATTCATTCTGGCCAGATATATAATTCATTCATTCTGGATATATATTTCATTCATTCTGGATATATACTTCATTCATTCTAGATATATAGTTCATTCATTCTGGATATATAATTCAAATTATGCACAACATAACGCCGTTAACGGCAATCAAAAATGATTTTTTCTTTTTAAAAGTTGGACGCGCGTTTTTAATCAAAACAACGCCGTTTTTGCAACCGTGTGCACCATGCATGGTGCACACGGTTGCACGACATAATTTGCCGTGGAAGGAGCGTTATGTTGTGCATCCGTATGCACCATGCGGATGCAAAAACGACGTCGTTTTGGCGTCTAACTTTAAAATAAA